GATATCTCATCTACATTCTCAAAGTACAACGTACTTTCCGCAACCACTCGCCCATTTGGCTCTCCATCGAACGTCAGTTTGGCAAGATATCGCTCAAATTCAGTAGCTCGTACTCTTCTGCACAAACCCGATCATTTGGCTTTCCATTTACCACAGTTAAACAGGCTCTTGCCGCCACTCTGCGACGATATATACCACATATATCAAGATCTTTCACTAGATTAACTGTCCGCCATGAACAATGTCAACCTTCACCAGCGTGACTATTGACAACTGAACCTAGCCCCTGTGTATGATGTTCTCCACACCTTCTAGGTGGCAGAGGTAACCTCTTAACCAGCGTCTTTTTCACCGTGGTCAATGTCGTCAAATATTTCTGTTTCGATTTGCTTATCTGGTAATGCTAGTAAAAACTCATGCGAATACTTATATTTTCTCTTGTTTGTTAATGATTTCAACATGTAACGGTCACCTTTTAGCAATTCAGTAACTACAAATGGTCCCTTAAATTTGGGATCCAGTTTTGTCTGATGCCGCTCTTCGTTTTTTATCAAAACGTAATCACCAATTTTGTATTTCTTAATTTTTGCCTTATTTTTATCTACTCTATTTTTGTCATACTCGGCATTCCTGACCATATTTTCCTTAGCTAGAACTCTCGCATCACTACGATCAATTTTCGTTTCTCCACCGATAGGTAGCATGCCCAGAGGCCTTGCTGCCCTACCAATTAATAACTCTAATGGATTAAAGTTAGTTACACTATTGGTTGTGCAATTCATGACTAACTGTACTTCTTGCCATAATCGTGAACTTGTTTCTACTGCTGTCAACATACTTTTCATAGTATTCATCACGCGCTCCACTTGTCCATTAGCTCTACTAGCGCTTGTTGCTATCAAATGCAAATCTATTTTATTACTTGAGCAAAAATCTTTAAAGCCACTACTTGCAAAGCTTCTGCCCTGATCTGCAATAATACGATAAGGTGCTCCAAAAAGTATTACAGTCGACTTTACGGCTTCAATGCAATTATTTGTGTCTAGGTTTAACGTGTGATGTAAATGGACAAACTTAGTAAATGCATCTACCTGAACAACGAAATATTCTTTTACATCATTTTTGAAACTCAACTTGCCGCTATTATCTATGTGTATAGTATGCCAAGGTATTTCAACTTTAGGAATGGGATGCATTTCCATTTGTATTTTTCCGGACGAAGGTTTAGCCAATTTGCACGTTATACAATTTTCTACGAATTTCCTTAAATATTTCGTCATATTTTTAAACCAGTATTGCTCAAAAACCTTGTCTAGAGTTTTCTGCCAACCCAAGTGCATTATTGCTTCATGCACATGATTAATTACGGACCATCTAAAGGCATTGGGAATCACATGAAGACAACGTGTTTTGCTATTTCGTTGAATAATGCGATACAACAACCCGGCTCTAATTTCATATGTTTTTAAAACATCATTTTGAGTTTCCCCAGCATTTAATTGGTTCATTATTTCCATTATATCTGAATCGCGTTGCTGCCCCGCCAATAGCCAATTATCTGTAATTTCTGCTAAATCAACACGAACTTCTTCTACTTTTTTTGTAATTTATCTTCTGTGGGCAAAGGATTTCGGGACAGAAAATCTACATGAACCATTTGTCATTTTTCGAACATTTGCATGACAATACTTATACATTCGATTATCTTTAAGCGACTTTATCAAATATCTGTCGCCATCTAAAACTTCTACCACCAAAAATGTACTAGAGATCCGCGCCTAGGAACACACACACCTGAGCACCACAATCACGCTCCGAAAGTCTTACAAAGACAGTCCCACCACAAGAGAAACCATCCAACAAACAAAGTCCCATAACACCGACCGCAGCACAGCCGCCGCCCACCGCGCAGCCAGCAGAGCGCGTGCATTCGCCACCGTATGCGTACACAAAAATGCGCAGAATAACCAGACCAACAGCCCAAGGAGCCAAGGGCATCTCGCAGTCGAGCAGTCTCGACCCGAGTACTCTCACTTGTTTCATATAGCCTTTTGTGCAAAGCTATCTTTAACCAAGGAAAAATACACCAGAATCAAAGATAATTGGAAAGCTCTCACCTCGGATCGGTATACTTATCTTCGATTCATCTACCACACGTATATCAGCTACAGTCGCACATCAATTTTCAGCATCAACGTTTGCCACGTCAGCGTTAAATTTTCGTAGAATGACAAATTCGGTTTTGTAGGCCCAAAATCGTACGCCACTGCTCCTCCGAGAACGTAGGAGGTGGTGCCGATCCCACTTCTGATGTTGGGGCGTTGCGTTTCTCATTCTGATTTTCCATCATAGCTGCGCGTAACAACGAATTACCGGTGTGTCGTTAAACTCTTTTTAATGCTCTTTCTCGTTCAATAGCCATTGACCAAGTGTGACTCCCCTTCTAATTTCGAAAGTTCTAATCATGGTCGCATATTCTTGTTCATCGAAAGCACAGCGACCCTGCTGCGAACGACATGACTAGCCGTCTCGCTCTTACCCAGCGATACCCGGGACTACGTTCAGCAACAGCTATTGTTGTCTCTCCCTTAGTGACAGTGCATCCTTTAATTGCACCACAATACTAAATCAATCGATTAACACGATATCAAGATACATATCTAATTGCAATTTCAACAGTTTAATATCGCACTGACCTGACATATATATATGTATATATATATATATATATATATATATATATATATTTATATATAAGTCTGCACGCATAGCATCAAGCATTCCAGCCTTATACACGCGCTCATTTGTATGTGTGTATGTATGTACACATAAATGCGTACTCTAGCATATTCTAAGAATCTCGCTGCGATTGACTTGTCTTTGCATTGTTTTTATACCCTGAACCCATTTTCAATGGGAAATCAGGGTATAATGGTTTTGTTGAAATGTATGTAACAGGCAGAAGGAGGCGTGGCAGACCCCACAAAGTATATATATTCTTGATCAGGGCGACGAGCTGAGTTGATTTGGCTCTGTCCGTTTGTCTGTCCGTCTGTCCGTCTGTCCGTATGTATGAACGCGTCGATTTCAGAAGATATAAGAGCTAGAGACTTCAAATTTTTTTTTATAATGTCCGTAATTACAGCGCGCATATCAAGTTTATCATTAAAAATTGATAACTCATCCCGATCTTTTTTTATCGATAAAAACCCATATCGAAAACCAGTTATAAAATTATATCTTCTACACCTTTATTGCTAGAGTCTCCAAATTTTTAATGTATGCTTATATGCAATTTATACAATTTCGGTTTTTGTTAAAATTTACCCCTCACCCTTAAATTCACCCCCTCACCCTCACTTTTGTAAAAAGCGTATTTCAAATACTAGAGACTTGTGCTTTGGCAATTCCATGCATATCCATGTTATAGTCATAATCTAATAATAATAAGTTTCATGAAGATCGTACGTCCACAAAAAAAGTTATTAAGCAATTAAATTCTCATAGTAAGCGCTCACTGCCGCCCATGCGTGTTTATGCTTGTGTGTGTATATGTATGTAATTGTTTGTGTATGTGTGTGTGTGTTTATGTATGCCTGTGTGTGCGTGCGTGCGTGTGTGTGTGCGTGTTTCTTGTGTAAGCTGAAAGACGCGAAAAATTATTGAAATAGCTATTACTCCAAGGGTTCAGGGGATCTCGTAGTCGAGTAGTCTCGACTAGAGCTTTCTTACTTGTTGAATTTCCAGTCGCTACACTGGCTTTTCTTTGCTAATTACTGTTGTTTGAGCCGATGCGGTGGTGCTGTAGGCAGAAGCGCCGGCGAACTTTATTTTAGTTATTTTGACAAACAAGTTATTTGGCTTGGGTGCGAGCTCAAATCCCGCGGAAAACTTTTTTTGTAAATTGCAAATTTTTGTTAATTTAGCTTCTTTTATATTTTTTAAATTTGATAAAAATGTTTTATTCCGCATTATTAAGCTTATTTATATGTGTTGGGCCAAATTCACTTATCATATTGTTAACTTGAATTTTATACCTATATTTTTACATTTGGGTTCACCCTAATTACTCTATCTCTCTTGCGTGGTGATTTCTTATTACTTGCATTAATTCGCCTAGCTCTAAGCAAGCTGCGCTTGCTCATACGTTTGTACTTTTAGTGTATATCAAGAACTCTACGAATAAACGTTGCACCTACGATGCGCTGAATTTCATATACGGCTCATTTGTTTAGTTAGAACAGCATCCCCATACTCTGAACTCATGCTAGACAGAAAAACGCTTCTGATCTTACATTTTGGCGCCCAACGTGGGGCCTTGCTGTTCAAGTTCCGTGCAACGCATTTAGAGTTATAATTTGGCTTATGTACAGACATATTCTGTATACATACTTCTGTGCATAAGTGGGATATATCAGCATACAAGCTATTAGTTGTGCATGCACTCGCTTGCCTTGCTATTCGCACCGGTCACTCACTTTGGTTGACTTCGCTGTCGCTCTGCGACCCCCGCCGTCGCATCACCGAGTCATCTTCTTCGTTTCGTCATTCTCTCGCAGCAAAGCAGCTTCTGCTTTGCAATCTTCGTCACTTCGCTACCCCTACGATCCCCCCGCGATCGCAGCAGCAAGTTATCGACAGTGCGCTTGTTATCATATTCGTCAGTTTGGATAAATCATATTCGTCAAATTATAAATACATAAGTGCAGTTAATCACAAACGCAGTTATACAAACGCATCAACTGCACTGAAAGTCGACGCTGGAATTACTCTTCTTTTGCTTAATATTGTATGCGCTCAGTTGAGTGAAATAAAATCCTAAAGTTGTTGATCAAATCATGTCTCTAGAGAGCCTTAAAGCACAGCGCGCGAATACTCGCCGGAATATTAGCCGAATTCGTAATGTTGTCGATCCCCAACTAAGAGAAGGGAAATCTGCACCAGTTCAAGCTGAATTAAAGTGTCGCTTGGAAATTTTGGAAGCTTACTTTAAGCAAGCAATGGTATTGCAGACTCAAATTGAAAAGGAATGTTCGACCGATACAGGACGCACCGAATTGGAGGAACTGTATGTAGAAATAAAAGTTTGTATTACAGAGCAACTCACGGAGGATATACACGAATCAACATTCGCTGCGGTATCTGGGCCCACATTCTTATCGTCGGCCAAGCTGCCCAGACTTGCGTTACCTACATTTGATGGCAATTATGCGGACTACAAGAATTTTAGTGCGCTATTCAACCAAATGGTGGATCAACAGAACAGCTTATCAACCATCGAGAAGTTTAATCAACTGATCAGCTGCTTAAAGGGACCAGCATTAGAAACGGTAAAGGCATTTCAGATCACACCTGAAAACTACCGAAAGGCACTTGAGCGCTTGAATCAACGCTACGACAATCCAACATTAGTGTTCTTGGACAATATCTCGTCGTTATTTATGCTCAAGAGTGTATCAAAGTCAAACAGCCAAGAAATTCGAAGTTTGATTGACAACTCTACAGCATTGTACAACTCGCTAAAATCATTAGGCAACGAGGCACAAATCGCACAGGCAATGTTAATAGCCATTGTTATGGATAAGATGGACATGGAAACTAAGCGCAAATGGAACGAATCATTGGATTATTCCAAGTTGCCTACGTGGGATTTATGTGTACAGGTAGTTGAGAGGCATTGCCAATATTTGGAATCATGCGGTAAGTCCGAATCGAGCCAGGCCCGTACAGCGACTGCTAGCAAACCACGAAGCCAGACAACCACGCGACATGGTTTGTCTTTTAATTGTTCAACTCACTCATGTCCTCTTTGTCTTAGCTCAGAGCATCGAGTCTCACGTTGCAGTCGACTTCAAGAGATGTCGGTTGCAGAGCGCTATGAAGCAGCGAAACGACATGGACTGTGCCTAAACTGTCTTGGCAAGGGCCACCAGGCATCCAAGTGTCCTTCTACTCAACGATGTCGATGTTGCTCGAGACTTCATCACAGCTTACTACATCGAGAGGCAGCTGTGAGTAGATCGACAACTATGTTGCCCAGCGGCTCGAATTCAAATGATGTGGTGACACATACACACACCAATCGAACAGACCAAGTCATTCTAGCAACGGCCATCGTTGAGGTCATGGATGCATCTGGAAACTACAGGATCGGTCGTGCTCTATTGGATTCTTGCTCACAGGTGAACTTCATCTCAGAACAGTTCGCACAAGCACTACGCTTGCCAAAGGTCAAACGGCACATGCGAATCTGCAGCGTTGGTGAGTCACACACATACATCAAGTTTGGCACTTCGGCCACAATCAAATCACGCTTGGAGGATTTCAAGATGCCCATTGATTTCTGCGTAACGTCACACATTGCCTATCAGCCGGAATCGGACATCGACACTTCATCATGGAACATACCGAAGAACACACCTTTAGCTGATGAGAAGTTTCACAAAACTCGTCATATCGATTTACTTATTGGCGCCGAAACATTTTTTGAAATTCTTGCAGTGGGACAAATCAAATTGGGTCCCAACCTTCCTATGCTTCAGAAAACGTTACTTGGATGGATTGTGTCTGGACGCTATAATGGAGGACAGCAACAGACACACTGCTACTCGCTCTCACAGGAGGAGTCAATAAACAACAATTTGGAACGACTCTGGCGTATCGAAGATTTGAGTAAACCAATCGACAAGTTCACACCTGAGCAACTGCAGTGCGAACAAATGTTTACTCGCTCTGTACGCCAACAAGCAGATGGTAGAATTATTGTTCGGCTACCATTCAAGGATGATCCACGACATCTAGGATCTTCATACGAGTCTGCTAAGCTGAGATTCGAGTCACTGGAACGGCGCTTAAATCGCAATCCCGAGTTAAAGGCAGCATACATAGCATTTCTGCGCGAATATGAAGATTTAAATCATATGAGTTTGGTACACTCACCAAGGCTTGACGAGCCACATAATTACATACCACATCACTGCGTCTTCAAGCCAAATAGCACTTCAACGAAGCTCAGAGTTGTCTTCGATGCCTCAAATCGAACTTCATCGCAACAATCACTCAATGATTTGCTAATGGTTGGACCGACTATTCAGACTGATCTATATACGCTTCTGCTACGCTTTCGAACGTACAAATATGCACTGACTGCAGATGTTGTGAAAATGTTCAGGCAAGTATTGGTGGACTATCGTGACCGCAAGTTCCAATCCATTCTTTGGAGAGATTCAACAGACAAACCACTACGGACATATTCACTAAACACAGTCACTTATGGTACGGCCTCAGCACCATATCTCGCCATACGCAGTATGAAATATTTGGCTGATCTACATATGCAAACTCACAAATTGGGATCACAAGCTATAAATTCATCATTCTACGTGGATGACTTTCTTTGTGGGCATGACACAGCAGAAGGCCTGCAACAACTCAAGGCAGAGGTCATCGAAGTACTTGGCAAGGGCAAATTTGAATTAGCAAAATGGCATTCGAATCATCCGGACTTTGTCGACGACAGCACGATCAAAGATTTGAATTTAGAAGATGGCTCAGTTACTAGCACATTAGGCTTAGCATGGAACCAACGTCTGGATGTGTTGCTATTTGCCTTTCGACCCAAATGCTCCGTTGATGCAATCACCAAGAGGACAATTTTATCTGTGGCATCTTCACTTTTTGATCCATTGGGATTGGTAGCGCCAATCATTGTGACAGCAAAGATCATTCTACAGGAACTGTGGATAGTCAAATTACAATGGGATGAGTCTGTGCCGCAAAACCTTTATTTAGCTTGGAAATCGTTTGCTGCATCACTTACTTCACTGGAGTCGCTGAAAATACCTCGATTCTGTATGCAGCCGAACACCAAGGAGTTGCAGTTGCATGGGTTCTGTGACGCTTCCATACGTGCATATGGATGCTGCATTTACGCACGCACAGTTGCAGCGGACGGCGAGGTTCAAGTTCACCTGATCACGTCAAAGTGCAGAGTAGCACCAACTCGTAAGTTATCGCTACCAAAACTGGAACTCGCTGCTTCTCACCTACTGGCCCAACTCTACGTGAAAATCAAGGGGATTTTCACATCGAAACAAACCTATCTGTGGAGCGACTCGTCGATAGTTCTTCATTGGATACAGCAACATTCGTCGACACTATCAACCTTTGTTGGAAACCGCGTTTCTGACATACAAGAAGCTACGCCGGACTGTCAATGGAGACATGTCCCAACTAAATTGAATCCCGCCGATCTGGTCTCGAGGGGGTGTACACCCATCGAATTAAACGAATCAATCTGGTTTATGGGGCCGGCGTATCTAAAGCAGAGCTCAAACACTTGGCCAAGAGACAAACATCATGAACCAGATCCTGAGATTGTAGCACTTGAGATGCGCAAGTCAGCTTTCAAGGCTACGACGGATATCAATTATCTACTCGACACACTCAGAAACATAAGTTCGCATCGTCGTTGTTTGCGAATTGTTGCTTGGATGCTGCGCTTTATACACGCGCTTCGGAAACCCGTTGAGCTGTCTACGCCCTCGCTATCACCTCAAGAGCTACAGCGTGCATTTAATTGCATTATTTGGAATCTGCAGCAGCAACACTTCGCAGATGAAATTCACGCTTTGAACAAAAATAGGCAAATATCAAGTCATATAAAATTTCTAAATCCATTTTTACAGATTACAGACGGATATCAACTATTGAAGGTTGGCGGCCGTCTCGAATTGGCAAATGCACCGGAGGTTCAGAAACATCCAATCATACTTCCCAGCAAAGATGATTTTGTTCGTCACTACGTGCAGTTTCTTCATGTGCAACACTATCATGCTGGCTCAAAGGCACTTGTCGCACTAATTCGTCTGCAATTCTGGATCGTAAATGCTCGAGACCTGGCTCGCTCTATTGTCAGAAGGTGCGTGCACTGTGTGCGCTACAAGCCAAAGTTGCAACAGCAACTCATGGGAAATCTGCCTGTAGAGCGATTGACGCCATCGAGACCTTTCGCTCACTGTGGAGTTGACTTTTGTGGACCAGTCAACGTCTATCTCCGCATTCAGGGCAAGGCTCCTCGCAAGGCCTACATTGCCATATTTGTATGCTTCGCCACCAAGGCTGTGCATATCGAAGTGGTATCTGACCTTTCAACGGATGCTTTCTTAGCCGCGTTGAGGCGCATGATTGCACGACGAGGATTGCCTGTGGATATATTTTGCGACAATGCCACGAATTTCACTGGAGCAAGCAATCAATTAAAGGAACTGCGAACCTACTTCTTCAAGCAAGAAAATCAACAGTCAATTATTAGTTTTTGCACAAATGAATTCATAAACTTTCGTTTCATCCCACCCAGAGCACCACACTTTGGTGGCCTCTGGGAAGCCGCAGTTAAAAGCGCCAAGGGGCTTATGACGCGCAGCCTTATGAACGCCCGCTGCACGTTTGAGGAATTGGCCACAATCACAGCAGAAGTAGAAGCCATCCTCAACTCACGCCCACTCACACCACTATCATCAGATCCAAGCGACTTGGGTGCTCTGACACCTGGTCACTTTCTAGTTGGAGACTCCCTGCGAGCATTGCCTACACACAATATAGAAGATGAACAGTTGAAATCTTTGGATCGCTGGCGTTTGATAACTGGTATCAAACAATATTTTTGGCGACGCTGGTTGACAGACTACTTCAACGAGCTGAACGTGCGCCACAAGTGGACCAAACCATCACCCAGTATCTCTATCGGGGACATGGTTCTCATACATGAAGACAACGTACCTTCTCAGAAGTGGATAATGGGTCGCATTACAGCTACAATTCCTGGACGAGATCAACGAGTACGAGTGGTAGATGTCCGCACTACCAAAGGCATAATCCGGAGACCAGTTCACAAAATAGCGATTCTTCCTGTCTCTTGAAAGACTGCGTCATTCAATGGGGCCGGGATGTTGGGCCAAATTCACTTATCATATTGTTAACTTGAATTTTATACCTATATTTTTACATTTGGGTTCACCCTAATTACTCTATCTCTCTTGCGTGGTGATTTCTTATTACTTGCATTAATTCGCCTAGCTCTAAGCAAGCTGCGCTTGCTCATACGTTTGTACTTTTAGTGTATATCAAGAACTCTACGAATAAACGTTGCACCTACGATGCGCTGAATTTCATATACGGCTCATTTGTTTAGTTAGAACAGCATCCCCATACTCTGAACTCATGCTAGACAGAAAAACGCTTCTGATCTTACAATATGTACAAATACATAAATAGATGGCTGACGCATATAAATATCGCAATTCGGGCAATGTAAATGCTGATTGCCACGCCCTTAGTGGCCGTAGACTGCTCATTTTTAACCAGTTTTTAGAACGAGCAACCGGTAACCTAAATGCATAATTTGAATTCTTACGCTCAAAAAATGTGAAAATGACAGATTATTTTTCGTTATGCCACGCCCCTAAAGGGGCGTTAAAATTATTTTTAAGGCATCGATAGAGGAGGCTACCAGTAACTCAACTATCCAAATTTGAAGCTTCTAGCTCTTAAACTGTAGGAGATATAAAAATTTTTGCGGTTTGCCACGCCTCCTATGGGCGGACATATATCTACCACAGCTCGTTGGACTTGCATGGTAGACCCGCGTATATATACCAAAATTTAAGTTCTTTAGCAACAATAGTGCTTCAAATATTGCAGAATTGGTAAAATCACTATATCTTCAGATTCGATTTGCCACGCCCCTGGTAGGCGTAAATATAAAATTATTTCACCCATCTTTATTGAATCGAAACATCAGCTTACGTGCAAAATTTCAGCATTTTAGACTTACTACTTTGGGAGATACAGTTTTATCCGATTTGCCACGCCCCCGATGAGCGGAGATATATCCGCCATAGCTCGTTATCTTGGGTGGTCGACGCGGACCTATTAACATATTAATTACATATTAAATTTCAGCTTCCTAGCTTTTCACTTAACATGATTTCTGGTATATCGGAAAATGCATTTTCAGATTTTTCACGCCCCTAGTGGGCGGATCGGGAAAATTTTAACACTTTATAAATCGAAGATATCTTCAAGTATGTGTTCCAAATTTCAATTCTCTAGCATCAATAGTATCAAAATAGACTGCGTTAATACGGACAGACGGACGGACAGACAGACGGACAGAGCCAAATCGACACAGTTCGTCGCCCTGATCAAGAATATATATACTTTGTGGGGTCTGCCACGCCTCCTTCTGCCTGTTACATACATTTCAACAAAACCATTATACCCTGATTTCCCATTTTCAATGGGTTCAGGGTATTAATATGGTCTTAAAAAAGTAGTTTCCTGCGAGCACCATGGTATGGAAATGTATGTTTGCCAAAGGATTAGGAAAACTGCATTTCATTGATGGGATCGTTAATGCTGAAAATACATTAATATTTTAAAACCAGAACTGAAAGTTTTCAGCATCGCGCACAGCCAAGCGAACCAAAAATGGCTGGAATCAAATGGAGGTTTTAGATTTATCATCAAATAGCCTAGACTAAGCCTAATTGAAAATATTTTATGGCATTAGCCACCATCATTAAAAGGCAAGCTTAGATATGAGCCACTTCACAGTGTTTTTTTTTAAGTTTTTTTTGGCATAAAGTCAATTTCAGAATTTTGTTAATTTTTATTTTTTAAACATTCTAGTTAGACAAAAAAATATTTAACTTTAACATTTGACGCAATAGTTTTCTGTTAGAGCGCTGTTAAAGTCAGCTGTTTATATACCATATGTTTTGTAGGAAATTGGCGGCAAAAGTTTGGCAACTTTAATTGTTTGTTTTGGCGAAAGTTTACACAAAAGTGAAAAGATTTAATATGGAAAACGGTTGTCCAGGTATTGAAAACAATAGTTTATTTATAATTGTATCGTTTTTATGTGTTTCTGTTTAGTTGTACCGTGTTTTGTAAATGTGTATTTTCAGAATGAACTTAACAAGCGTAGTTGTGTTTCGTGGATCAGTACTTTTGTATGGCAAAGCGTTGCAAAAGGTTTTATATGCAGAGTTATTAACAAATTTGTACATATTAATATGAAACTAATCTTTTTTGTCCGAATCCACACGTTTTCGATCAAATTTAATTTTTCTAGTACAATATGAGTTTAGTCGTGCTAATCTGGTTGACATTTGGAGCAAAAACAATCGCTCAGTCGACGCAGTACAACAACATATATTGGCAAATATTGCAGAAAAACACTTAGATGAGGAGAACATAAGCTTAATAAATCAAAAAGTTAAAGGCTTTGTAAATTACATTCGTAAGCACCTGCCGAAGTGTAATTCAACTCTTGAAAGATTTAAGATAAAACACTCGGAATGGCTTGGCAAAAGCTTATTCATTGACATCACTGGTCAATATGCCTTAACAAATAAAATGGGTCGCCCAAAATGTGATTACGAAAGCGCTGGTCCACGTCTAAAAAGAAAATTAGCCGCCGAAATTTCTAAAGAGAATAACAATTCATCTCCCTTACTCATACATGCAGCCACAGTTTCAGCTAAAAAATCAAATGAAAAGAATTTGGCTATTGTTTTAAAAGCAGCTGGGAATTGTGAGAGTATTGATGATATAAAAAAAAAACTTTTTACGGATGAACCAAAACAAATGTCACCCGACAGTGCTCTTGCTTTTATATTGGAAAACGGATTCACAAAAACTCGTGTCAATCTTGCCCAATCTGTGGAGCGAAGCCAAAACAATTGCTGAACTTTAAAGATATGAACTCAAAGGTTTTTATGGCTAAGGCACACGCTCTTCAATATGGAATCAGTCCTTTACACGCTTGGATCCGCTTTTTCGAGTTTGTTTTAAAAGTCTCATACAGAATTGAGCTTAAGAAGTGGCATGTAAAGGATTGCGATAAGTTTGACCTGGAAGCACGAAAAAGACTGTTGCAATCAAAAATGATGAAAGAAATGGGCCTAAATGTAGACAAGCCTCTTCCAAATGGCAGTGGCAACTCAAATGATGGCAACACAGCGTTTTCAAATCCAGCTTTACTGTCATCAATTCTACATTTTGATTTTGACATTCTGCAAAGTTTTCATACTATTTTAACGACAATTTACTGCGAATACAGCATAAACTCGGAAAAGTTTAAAGCCTTCTGTGCGAAAGTTTTTGTGGCATATCACGATAAATATCCTTGGTATCCCATGTCGCCCACAGTTCACAAAATCTTAGTACATGGGCACCAAATAATAGATACATGTTTAGTTCCTGTAGGCTGCCTTGGGGAACATGCATCTGAATCAAGAAATAAACTATACAAAAGCGATAGAAGAGGCCACGCAAGAAAATGCAGTCGACTAGACAACATCACTGATGTTTTTAATAGATCAATGGATAGTTCGGATCCATTGCTGTCTAGCACCTTTTTTAAAAAAGGATCGCAGCGAATCAAGTTAAAAGTAATACCAGCAGAAGTGATATCCCTACTACAAGAACCACTTATAGAAATACCTTCGGAAAATAATGAAGTGGATTCGTCAGACGAGGAAGATGAGGGTGAACTTGAGGTCATTGCTTCAGAAGATGAATATTTTGAGCTAGAATAAAGTAAACCTAATTAAAAATTTGTTAAATTGATCTATTCTTTTAAATATATTTACTTAAATTTCATTTCTTTATAATTATTTTTTTCTTTTTTAAAATAAAAAATAAAAAAAGTATTTTATGCAACATTCACCAATATCGGCCAGATCGGTTATATGGCAGCTATATGAAATAATGCCCCAAATCATATAAAACTTGGTAGGTCATCTAAGGAGCGTAAAATATTCATACAATCCAAATTTCAATGTAATAGCTTTCAATTTAGAGTTTATGCCAAAAAAAACTTAAAAAAAACCACTGTGCACTTGAAAATCAAGTTGCAAGAGATGTGGCACTCAATTTACAAGAGCAAAAATTGCAGAAATTGGCTAAAATCAATGTCAAAATGAGTTAAATGCGTAATTCAGGCCAAGGACGATGTTACACAATTCTAATATTAATTACATTATTGTTTTATGTATGTAATGATCAATTTTTTCTCATCTCTTAAGTCAACCGTTTGAATAAATTACTCATATTTTTGTTGTTGTTGGAAATAGATTAAAACTTTTTTTTTCATTGTGAAGAGAATAAAATTCTCTCTAAGACGAAATGCATTGGTATGTGCTATCTTTAGTAGAATTGATAATATGATGTGTTAAGCATTGCGTACTGCAAAAAAAACATCCTGTTCGAATCATTAGTGGCTTGGGCTCGTATGCATGTGCACAAGCAGCAGATCACTAAAATTGAAATTTCTTCGCGCTGGACTCCCGTTTCATTCCTTCTATGTGAAGAGTATACCTAACTCTTCAAATCGTTTGACATGCTCATGCAAAATGTCTGTGTTTTCGTAATTATTTGTGGGAAGGGTATGAAAGCGTTGGTGCGCGTAAAGAAAAATGTTTTCGCGACGAACATGCATGCACACACTTACAGTCCCTTGCTACATGTATGAGCATTCATATGCCTGTATACGAATCTGTTGTATGCACAAAAGCAAGGGTTCAAATAGCACATCTCAATTTGCCCACTGGATTTGACAATGTACTGTATATATGTATATTATTATATATATAAATCCTCTCCGAATCGATAGTTTCATGACACGTCATGATTCTGAGTTTATTGGAGTTAAATAACTCTTTGATCGTATGTCACTTGTTCTTATGTTCTCTTTTCTAATGTACAGTTTTATGTTAAACATTTAAATCGTATTAAAGAAATTTCTGATTATGTAAATGACAATACATTATTTTTAGTGTTGGGTGATTTTAGTATACCTAGCACTTGTTGATCGTCAATTTCCCATTTCAATTACCTTATTGCTTCGTCAGACCTTTTCCCAATTTGCAATCCACTTATTAGTAGTATTATTGATAAGATATATTTTTAGGCTATATAATATTATTTAATAGTCTTGTCAATCTTTTTAAATAAATAATAATAGAAGTCAGAGAAAAACTTTTAATAATTTTATAAATTTTAAATTATAGAATTTATTTTTGGCATTGGGCGCAGCTACTATTAAGTTCTGGACGTTGGCGTTTATTAGTGCACCAAAATGCAAATCGCAGCTCCTCAAACATTTCAACCCATAAAGAACGAGGCGGAGATAAGTATGCCAAATGGGTGGTTGTTTGTGAACCCTTAACGGGTGTATAGTTTAAATGATTTGAATTTTTACAACTGTTTTGATTAATTCTCATCAATTTGGCTTGTTGTCGGAAGTTAATTATAAATTCGAGGAATGAAACAATAAACGCCACTAATATTCCTGTAAGCAATACCACAAAAACGCCACCTATAATATAAAAAAAATAAAAATAAAATTTAAAAAAAAAAAAAAAAAAATATATATATATATATATATATATATATATATATATATATATATATATATATATATATATATATATATATATATATATATATATAATTATTATCTGTTTACTGGAATTACCTATACTGTCAAGTCCCAATGCATTTGCTTTCGACTGCTTATTGCTGGTTATCCGTTTACATGTCTCATCAGTATTTTTCCACCATTTATCATATAACATTTGAATATCTCCTTTTTCTTGAAGTTCCAGTATAGCCAACGATATCTTGTCTCGCCATGGAGATCCTTTAGGAGTAGCAATACCGTATCCTATATAATATTATTAATTCAAGATGCAATTTAAATATCTGCTGTTTAAAAATAAAATATATTTGATAACTTTATATTAATTAGTAAAAGAACCTATGGGATGCCATATGGTCTTATGTGTGTGTGAGTGTTTGAGTCTTGGCTAAATATTACTATACTGTTCCTGATTCTTTTACCAAATTACATTAAACTGTCCTCGGACCATGTTTGAGAATCATGCAATCGGAAACGCCTGTTACTTTCTTATAAATGCTTTTTTATTGAAATAAAATATATAAAACTGTACCTTTTGTGTCTAATAAGCCACCGATCTGCGTCAAATTGCAGTCTCGTTGAACAATATAGTCAAGCATTGTAGATTCCATTAAGAAGGCGTAGTTACCCTGGTTAACACGCCTTATCCCATCTTCGTAAGTAGATGTAAATGCCATAGGTTTCTTATTATCCATAACTCTCCACATCTTTTTATAGGTTTCAATCATGGAGTCCTACTTAAAATACTTGTTAATATTGTAAAACTTCGAATACTCAAAATAAATATACATAGGTAAGGACTTATGATCAATATCGATTAAATTCCTTAAGCGGGGTATCCACAATCGAATTTATTGCACGAACATGATCGCCGAGTTCACCTATTAACTATGCGAAGATTTCCACAATCATAATTTCAAAACGAAATTTTTGATTGTGAACATGCAAGCTAATGAAATCAAAATCGTGGCCTTAATGGCCATGTTTATTTAAAACAAGAAAAGGCACCTGACTTTGCACTTCTTTTTATTTTTGCCAGTTCGCGCCTGTAAGATGCGCGCAAAGAATTTATTTTCGTTTTGAATAACAATATGTCCCAAGATTTATTGCGCAACTTTTTATACCCTGAACTCATTGAAAATCGGAAATTAGGGTATAATGGTTTTGTTAAATGTATGTAACAGGCAGAAGGAGGCGTGGCAGTACCAATAAAGTAGTATGGCAAATACATGCATATCTATGCTATATTTATAATTTGAAAGTTTCATGAAAACACATCCACAAGAAAAGTTATTGAACAATTAAGTTCCCATTGTAAGCAACCACTGCAGCCAATGTGCGTGTATGTGTGCATAGGCAAATAATTATTGAAACATCAGTTGCTCGAAGGGCTCAGGGGATCTCGTAGTCGGGCAGTCTCGACTAGAGCTTTCCTACTTGTTTTTTTATTATTTTAGTTTTCGCTTTTATTTTGTAACAAATTCGACTGTGGATACCCCGCTTTATCAAAAATCAGTTATAAAATTATATATCTTGCATTATTAGAGCTAGGATCTCCAAACTTTAAATGCCAATTCATACATATGCATTTGATTGAATATCGATTTTTATTATAATCCTCCGGTTGCCAAGGGCGCCGATAAGGGGTAATAAGGCCTTGAGTCGGAAAGCTATAAAGCTGTAGGAGATATAATTTTTTAACTGATTTTCGATAATGAGTCTCCAATAAAGTCACCGTACCGTACATTTTCACGAAGCACGCTGCAACTTCGCAAAATTTTTATAAAACAAAAGTTTTTGATGTCGCTTGTTAAAAAAATTAATCATCTATAAAATAGCGGTTAAATAATAGTAACATACTAAGCACATATCACTATTACAGTTGGTCGTTACAGACTGCAGAGCTCTCATTCGCAGCCGCGAGGATGCAAGATTCGCTGTAACTAATTGATTTTGGACTGTAAACCCGAATATATTTCAATATTCAACACGTAGCAAATACATTAAAAATGAGAAATTATTGACAACCATTCCTGTACATATTAAGTGCGGGACTCTCCATATTTTGCATAAAGATGAGAAGAATTGCACTTGGTATACATATTCTATTGAATAATGAAAATTTTGTAAAAAATGCTAGCCCATTAACAGCTAGCTATCATATATGTATATTAGGTATCAAAATTATAAATAAAATAAATTGTGTAAAATTCATCTATATACCATACAACATTAATAAAGTACTAAGCCTTTCATGCTGTTTTGTTCTATCACTAACTATCACTAGTGTAAAGCATTTTACACCCTTTTTTCGAGTGTTGCGGGCTACGGGCCACTAATACTCAGACATGTTTCCAGAGACTGCAACGCTCGTCGCGAAAACATTTTCATTATGAGTACCAACGCTTTCATACCCTTCCCACGAATAACCATGGAAACGCTTACATTTTGTTTGCATGAGCGTGACAAACGCTTTTATGATTTCGGTATACCCTTCACTCAAAAGGAAAAAGCTGGGATCGTCGCGAACAAATTTCAATTTTTGTGCGCTGCTGAGTTCAGTGATTTGAGAGACCATAGAGAGAGATAGAGTGAGAGAGAGAGAGAGAGAGAGAGAGTAGGATTTTGCCGTGAACCAATCGATAATAGAGTGGAACTAACTAAACTAAAATATGATTTATATTTTATACAATATAACTTATTGTGAGCAATAATATTGAACTTCTTGATGTAAATAACGTGAAAATTCTCTAACAGAGCTTATAAGGCAATTAAAAAGAAAAATTAAAATTTGATAACATGTAGTACAAAAATTTATGTGTTAACTAAATATGTTTTAATTAAGAAGCTGCCGGCAAATTTTCAAATAGTGAAAAATGTTGATTCGTTTTCTTGCATATGTATATATTTTGTGGGTAAACAAAAATAGTATCGTTCCAATACTAGAGCTATTCTATTCAAAGAACATTGCAAGTATTGAGAATATACACCCAATTCAGTGGGGTAATTCTTAAGACTCTACATAGTTTAGGGCGAGAGGTGTGCTTATAAGTAATCGGGAGAAAATAAAAAATGTAGGGACTTGACCACTTTTGCAATGGCATTGCTTTCCTTGCCATGGTCGAACGCGCAAGTGCACAGTGGACGGTGCTATATGGAAATGGTGGCCAAAATTCTTTGCGTTGGAATTTTATTATGAAATTTTGAAACTAGATTTATTTAGTACTTACAAATTATAAACCAACCAATTGTCATACTGTGACAAGGTCGGGACCCTCCCAGGCTGTTAAATTATGAAGAATTTTGAATAAAGACTAAAAGTGGATAGTAAAATAATTTTTTTTATACCCTGAACCCATTTTCAATGGGAAATCAGGGTATAATGGTTTTGTTGAAATGTATGTAACAGGGAGAAGGAGGCGTGACAGACCCCACAAAGTATATATATTCTTGATCAGGGCGACGAGCTGAGTTGATTTGGCCCTGTCCGTCTGTCTGTCCGTCCGTCTGTCCGTATGTATGAACGCGTCGATTTCAGAAGATATAAGAGCTAGAGACTTCAAATTTTTATACTCATTCACGAAAGTGAATCAGTATATTGGTTTTGTGCAATGTCCGTCTTGCTGTCCGTCCGTCTGTCCGTCTGTCCGTCCGTCCGTCTGTCCGTCTGTCCGTCTGTCCGTATGAACGCAATCTATTTCGGCGCTATTGAAGCTAGAGACTTGAAATTTGGAACACATACTCGTGTATATCTCCGATTTATAAAGTGTTAAAATTTTCCCGATCCGCCCACTAGGGGCGTGGCAAATCGGAAAATGCATTTTCCGATATACCAGAAATCATGTTAGTTAAAGAGCTAGAAAGCTGAAATTTGGTATGTAGGTCCGCGTTGACCACCCAAGATCACGAGCTATGGCGGATATATCTACGCCCATTGGGGGCGTGGCAAATCGGATAAAACTGTATCTCCTAAAGTTGTAAACCTAGAAAGCAGAAATTTTGCACGTCATCTAATGGTATGATTCTATAAAGTGTAAAGATAAAATTATAAGTTTATGCCCAGTGGGGGCGTGGCAAATCGGACCTGAAGATATAGTGATTTTTTAAATTCTCCTATATTTTGGACACTATTGATGGCAGAGACCTCAAATTTTGTATATATACTCGGACTGATCACCCAAGACCAAAAAGTTTTGTCGGATATATGTCCGCCCACAGGGGGCGTGGCAAACCACAAAAGTTTATATCTCCTAAAGTATAATAGCTAGAAGCTTTAAATTTGGATAGTTGAGTTACTGGTAGCCTCCTCAATCGATTCCCCAAAAATAATTTTTACGCCTCTTTAGGGGCGTGGCATATCGAAAAATACCCTGTAATTTTCACATTTATTGAGGTTAAGCATTCAAACTTTGCAGTTAGGGTACCGTTATCTCTTTCTAAAAACTGACCAAAAATGAGGTGTCTACGCCCAGTTGGGGCGTGGCAAATCGGAAAAACCTGTATTTTCTACAGTATTAGAGCGAAACTTAACTACTAAATTGTTGATGGGATGTGAATGAGTATTCCGCAGTCGGTAACGCCCGACTGCAACGTTCTTACTTGTTTTTTAAATGTTCGTAATTACAGCGCGGATATCGAGTTTATCATTAAAAATCGATAACTCATCCCGATCTTTTTTATCGATAAAAAACCTTATCGAAAACCAGTTATAAAACAAGTAAGAAAACTCTAGTCGAGAGTGCTCGACTAGATACTACCCTGAACCCAACATATAAAAATGCCCATTTAGTATGGCTGAAATTTCAATTTCGATGTATTTAAAAATATAAATAAAATACCAAACTCATTTAATAAAATATAAAAATATTTTTAAACAATTAAAAAAGTTAACGTCAGTTGCACCGATCGGGATTCGAACCACAACTTCTCGATCGAGCGTCATGCAGCTAACACACTAGGCCACTTCACTCCTGCTAGTGGCGCTGGCAAAACTCAAATAGATTCACTGCTGCAGCGCCATCTACCAAAGCTAAACGAAACTAACTGCTGATGTGATTCTAAGAATCTGCTAGAATAACCAAACTATTAATTTCAATTTCGGTGTATTCAAAAAATATAATTTAAATAGAAAACTCATTTATGAAAATATAAAAATATTTTGAAACAATTAAAAAAAATTAACATCAGTTACATCGATCGGGACTCGAACCGCGACTTCTCGATCGAGCGTCATGCAGCTAACACACTAGGCCACTTCACTCCTCCTAGTTGCGCTGGCAAAACTCACTGCTGCTGCGCTATCTACCAAAACTAAACGAAACTAACAGCTGATGTGATTGAACGAATGTTTCTAGAAGAAGTTTGAATGTATGTGTGCACACGCATACGATGCTGTTGTAGCTGCTGCACGTGCGTTTGTTAATTGGCCAAATATTTGATTATTTTTTATTAATTTTTGACTGAACGGAAATTAATGAAACTTTCAGCATATGATCTACATATTATCTATATATATAAAAGAGAGTTGTGTAAAAGTGTATTAGCACTTAAAACTCGAGATCTGCTGGACCAATTTTCATGGTTTTTGATTTGTTGGATTTGTCTCCGCCACTAGGCGGATCAGTAGATCTTTAAAATACTGAAAAAATTTGACGAATACTTGAAAAACGCGGTTTTTCCCCTAAAGATTCAAATTTCCATTTATACTCAGTAGCCTTGACAACAGTGACAGTTTCGGTGCTGTATAGAAGTAAATAAACAAATGTAGTCAGTCAGTCTACGGCACAGTTTCGAGCAGACCTGACTATTCAACAAAAAAAAAAAAAAAGACTATTCAACAAAAAAAAAAAAAAAAAAAAAAAAAAAAAAAAAAAAAAAAAAAAAAGACTTAAAAAAAAAAAATAAATAAATAATCAAAACAAAAATTTTTTTTCCAAATCAAAAAGAAAAATATTTCAAATCAAAAATCTGCAAAAATTCAAAAAAATCAAAAGATTAAAACCTGACTGTTCAAAAAATAAATAAAAAATTAAAAATTTGAAATTAAAAAAAAAAAAGTTAATTATTAAAAAGTGTATTTTTGCCCGCCACCAGAGCCATTGTGTTCCCTACTTTTCTAGCGAGCACTCAAAAATACAATGCCTGTTTCCAATTCGGGGCAGAGACAAATCCAACAAATCAAAAACCATGAAAATTGGTGCAGCAGATCTCGAATTATAAGTTTTGTAACAAACTCTACTTTGTTTTATATATATAGAGACTGTTAGGCGGTACGAAGCTCGCCGGGACAATCCAACAAATCAAAAACCATGAAAATTGGTGCAGCAGATCTCGAATTATAAGTTTTGTAACAAACTCTACTTTGTTTTATATATATAGAGACTGTTAGGCGGTACGAAGTTCGCCGGGACAACTAGTATTGAATATTTGAGAAATTTAAAAAAAAAAAGAAAAATCATTCACAATCAGCTATAGTGGCATCTGATTTGAACTTGAATGTTTTTACTCGATAAAAACATAACGAGATGATTTATCGAATTTTAAAAGCAAACTCGACGTCCGCGCTGTATATACGGTCATTTAAAAAAAAAATTCAAGTCTAGCCCTTATATCTTCGGAAATCGACGCGTTCAAACATACGGACAGACGGACAGACGGACAGACGGACAGACGGACAGGGCCAAATCGACTGAGCTCGTCGCCCTGATCAAGAATATATATACTTTGTGGGGTCTGCCACGCCTCCTTCTGCCTGTTACATACATTTCAACAAAACCATTATACCCTGATTTCCCATTGAAAATGGGTTCACGGTATAAAAACACGAAAAAGAGAATGGGAGGCGAATGGCAGCTGAAATTAAGAATACAAACTTAAAAAACATTAACAAATATAAAACGAATAAGTTCATTTGAGGGCGCGACGGGGATCATAACTTTTTCTCCAACTGAAATCAGTGCACAGAGAAAACTACAACATTAAACAGGCCATTGCGAACAATGTATTACTAAAACAAGTAAGAACGTTGCAGTCGGGCGTTACCGACTGCGGAATACTCATTCACATCCCATCAACAATTTAGTAGTTAAGTGTCGCTCTAATACTGTAGAATATACAGGTTTTCCGATTTGCCACGCCCCTACTTCATTTTTGGTCAGTTCTTAGAACGAGATAACGGTACCCTAACTGCAAAGCTTGAATGCTTACCCTCAAAAAAAGTATAAATTACAGGGTATTTTCCGATATGCCACGCGAAATAGACGTAAAAATTATTTTTTGAGAAACTGATAGGGAAGGCTACCAGTAACTCAACTATCCAAATTTGAAGCTTCTAGCTATTATACTTTAGGAGATATAAGCTTTTGCGGTTTGCCACGCCCCCTGTGGGCGGACATATATCGGACATACATACCAAATATCAGCTTTCTAGTTCTTTAACTAACATGATTTCTGGTATATCGGAAAATGCATTTTCCGATTTGCCACGCCCCTAGTGGGCGGATCCGGAAAATTTTAACACTTTATAAATCGGAGATATACACGAGTATGTATTCCAAATTTCAAGTCTCTAGCTTCAATAGCGCCGAAATAGATTGCGTTCATACGAACAGACGGACAGACGGACGAACAGCAAGACGGACATTGCACAAAACCAATATACTAATTCACTTTCGTGAATGAGTATAACAATAATACAACATATTATTATACAAAATTCATTTTGTTATATAGTATTAACCTTTTCTTTCAATATGCATCATAATTTATGCCAATTAACCACGATTTAATATTAAAATTTAATTTTTTGGCAAGAGATGGCTTTTTAGCTTAGTTCACTGCGCACGCCACGTGTCTTTTTGTCTATCTTTTGTTGCTATTCGTAGCGCTTGCGAATGGGATAGTGCAAAAATGAGTTAACAGTGGAATTAATTGTTCTGTTAAGAAATAAAAAAAATCATATAGTTGTAAATTAAAAAAAAAAAAAATTTGTATTTTTGGCCTATGAAATCGTCCACTGTGAAGTAAGAAGTCAGGTCAATACTGTAAAAACAATGAATATTGATATGCTTACTCAATTGTAAGCGTCAGGTAAAACCTATATAGTGTAAAACTTTACAGACCACGGTTGAAGAAATGCTGCCATAACTTTTAATTACTAAAAATATATTTAAATATCAATCAAATCAACGCAAAAACCGCTTTTTTGTCCGATTTTTTCACAAAATTTCAGCTTTTTTAAAAGTATCTTCCCACTAACAACAGATTTTTGGCTCAACAAATGTTGGCAACACTGTCTATGTGTTCTCTGGTCAGACTAACTAACTTTTCAACACCGAAAAATCTGTCTAGTAGCTACCAACAACTTCGTATTCGCTCGGCTTGGTATTTCATGGCTAGGGTAATGAAAGAAAGCACGACGAAGTCAGTGCGCTACAAGCACGCAAACGAAATGTTCCCGTTGTATGCGTTTTGCGTTTTTTGTCCTACTCTCTCTCACACTCTATCTCTTTCTCTATGGTCTCTCTATGGTCATCAAGCTCAGCAGCTTACAAAAACTGAAATTTGCTCGCGACGATCCCAGCTCTTTCGTTTTGAGTGAAGAGCATACCGAAATTTTAAAAGCGTTTGCCACGCTCATGCAAACAAACTGTAAGGGTTTCAATGATTATTTATGGGAAGGGTATGAAAGTGTTGCTGCGCATAAATTTTATTTCGCGACGAGCATGCCTACACAGGTGCACGCCAAAATTCATCTCCAATGCATACAAACGAAGATATACACACACGCACATGTAAAGGCACAGAGGCATACAAATGCTTCTACAAGTTATATCCCATAATTGTGAGCAGCGCATCCCATGCGTACACAATTAAATAAGTATACATACATACATATGTATGTGAGCTTTTCACAAGAACGACCAAATGCAAATGATTGGCTTCAAAATTGCTGCAGGCAGCCAGAGCTTCACACAAAGGCATACAAATAATGTTCATAGTACATGTAGCAAGGGACAGTGTGTGTGTGTATGCTCGACTCGAAAACTTTTTCATAATGCGCACCAACGCTTTCATACCCTTCCCACAAATAATAACGAAAACGCAAATATTTTGTACGAGCTTGGCAAACGGTTTGAAGAGTTCGGAATACTGTGTGTGCATGCTCGACTCGAAAACTTTTTCATAATGCGCACCAACGCTTTCATACCCTTCCCACAAATAATAACGAAAACGCAAATATTTTGTACGAGCTTGGCAAACGGTTTGAAGAGTTCGGAATACTCTACACACTGCTGCTGCTTGTGCTCACATGCATACATACATATACATATTTGAGAGAGCAGAGAGCAGAGAGAGCGAGAGAGCAAGAACAAAAATTGAGCATAGAGGCATCTTTTATTCAACATTTGACCATGACCATTTCGGTCGAGCGCATGAAGTGAAATGATTGTGCTTTCGTATATTTTAGGAGCCTGAACCTAAAAGTGTAGAGCCGAGCGAATACGAAGTTGTTGGTAGCTACTAAACAGATTTTTCGGTGTTGAAAAAGTTTGTTTTACATGTCTAGTCTATGTGTTGTTTGGTTAGTGTCTTTGGTCAGTGCTATTAGCTAGTGTTGCCAGCTTAGACTATCTCAAGCTAGATTTAGCATATTACTATTGAATATACAAACCTATACCCATAAATCTAGCAAGCATAAATCTTTTCAAGTTCATATAGTACTTAATATTGCAGTACATTACTGAGTAGAATATAAAACATTGTGCATTTCAGCGAAAAGAAAAAAATGTTAATTTCTAAACATATTAGATAGTTTTTATCATCTAGCCTGCTATTTCAACATTTATTTTCAATTTTTAGCCAATTCTATCCTTTTTGCTCAGCAACGGCGCTCAACGCGCAATAAAAGCACCGTACGATTTTCGTTTCGTTTGTCTAGGTTTTTGTTTTACTCAGCTCAAAGCGTAACAAGTAAAGTAAAACAAAATACTTGGCGACTTTGAGTACCATTCGTTTCGTTTTGCAGCAATGCTTGCGATGGCAAATATCAGTATATTTGGAAGACGACCGCAAGCAAGTATACTAATGCAGACCTCCATAATGTACACCAAAGACTTTAATAACCTCATGATTTTGCAGTTTGAAGATGTGTATAACGGAATTATAATTAATTATAGTTATTGATCGATTATCGTATACACACATTTAAACGTGTTTACGTGTATAATAATGTGTGAAGAGGATATGGAAGTCCACAAGATCGATCATTTAAGTCACTCTACAATTTGATCCACAAAAAATTGAAAACTTACTGATCACAATTTTTAGCTTGGAAAACGAACATTGAGCATAGCTGGACGCTTGAAAGACGACCTTTTCGGCCGAGCGCATGAAGAGAAATCATTTTGCGTTCCTATATTTTCGTAGACCGAACTTAAATATAAGGTGCCCAAGCAAATACGAAGAGCCTGGAAACTTATGCTCAAAAAAAGCAAAAAGCTTTACACTACGTGTCCAGTATGTGTGTTCTATGGTTAGTGTAGAGACTTAAGATTTGTTCCTAGGTCCGTATACAGTGGCTCACAGCTTATTTGGTGCAGCGGTATGGTACAATTTTAAAGCCGTATTCCCGCTAAACCAAAAAAATTAAATGGGGTCTTATTTATCAGTCATTTATTATGTGTTTTAACGCACTTTATTATTTTTGTGATCTATCAAATAATATTTAAAACCATTAAAAAAAAATAAAATAACTGGCCTTTTCCATGTCACAGCTTATTTCGTGCACTTCATTTTAAGACAGTGTCATGGCTGGGCCTGCATGACGTCTTCGGGGGTTGGAAGCTCCTGGTTGTCCAATCCTCGTTGGTCTGGAACTGTCAAAATGTGGCCAATCATAGCTAAACGTTATAGAAAATTTGGGGTCGAAATTGGGCGTGGCCATTCGTAAAAGGTCAATATCCAATAAAAATGAGCTCAAAACGGCCCTCGGAGGAATGGCCAAAAATCTCCACCGAAGACACCCGAAAATTGTTAAACTCGATGGAATCCCGCTTAAAAGAGGTAATTAAACAAAAAGGAGGTAACAAAAAATCGTAATTTAAGAATTTTTGGACAATGAAGTGGAAAAGTCATTGAAAAGGCCAGTTATTTTAGTTTGTTTTAGTTTTAAATGTTATTTGTTAGAACAGAAAAATAATAAAATGCGTTAATACATAATGAATGACTGATAAATAAGTTCCCATTTAAATTTTTTGAATATCTTTACTGGTTTAGCGGGAGTACGGCATTAAAATTGTACTATACCGCGGTGGGCCACTGTATATCACGCGCATATCGAGTTTTTCTCAAAAAATCGATAACTGATCCAGCTATTTTGCTATCGATTTAAAACATTATCGGAAAGCAGTTAAAATTATACACGTTATATTTGTTGTGTAAGCAGAAGAGAAGCGAATAATTTTTGAAATATCGAGAAGTATCGACTAGATCTTTCTTATTTGTTTTATACAAATTTAACTAATTTGCATCAATTTTCGCTAAAATATATGAGTGGTAACTTTATAAAAACATTAAATATTTTATGTACATTATAAAAATTTAAAATGTGCTCAACCTACACTTACCCGAAAAAAAGTCATTGTTGATCCACTTTCTAAAGTCCCGTAGGAAATTTCTGTCTGGCTAGCCAAATCGTCAGCGTTTTCAATAGGGTTAATCATACGTTCAACAGTTAAAAATGCTGCCAAGTTCGCAGTATATGATGCAACTATAATAAGGGAAAAAAATCCCCAAATACTACTTATAATTCGAGTAGAGGTAGCCCTCGGATATATATCTGACCCCTGTTGCATAAGCGTCCCAATAGTAAACCAAAAACTATCCGATATCGTAAATTGGTTACTAATTGTTAAATGATCAATATCACATGGATGTATACTACGCCATTCAATTGGAGATAACTTTGCTAATAAATATATTGTTAATGATACAAGTATATATGCCACTAAAACATAAATCCATATTTCGATTGCTAATGGGTTCATGAATGAAAAAAGTCGAGTTGGTTCCGCCGTGGGCACCTATATAAATAAGTTTTCATTCATTATTCGATACTTTTATGCTGTTGTGTATTAATGGTTTTGATGAAATGTATATAACAGGCAGAAGGAGGCGTGGCAGACCCCATTAAGTATATATGTATATTATTGACTAGGTGACCCGGGGAACTATTTAGGCTTTGATGAACGTAATACAATAATACAAAACAATATTAATATAGAAAGAAATATAAAAGTATTTTATTATGATGAATGATGATGAAAACATACAGAATGAGAATAAAAATTAAAAAAAAAAAACACATGTCAGAAAAAAATCATTGAAAACTATGTTGTTCAGGTTGGGATACTCTAATTAATTTATTAATCGGCTTTTCATTCAAACACCTTGTGGTTCGTTTTTTGGTCAGCTAATTAGATCTTCTAGGACGCGGCATTTTTATACCCTGAATCCATTTTCAATGGGAAATCAGGGTATAATGGTTTTGTTAAATGTATGTAACAGGCAGAAGGAGGCGTGGCAGACCCCATAAAGTATGATCAGGGTGACGAGCTGAGTCGATTTGATTTATTTATATCTTCTGAAATCGACGCGTTCATACATACGGACAGACGGACAGGGCCAAATAGACTCAGCTCGTCACCCTGATCAAGAATATATATACTTTATGGGGTCTGCCACGCCTCCTTCTGCCTGTTACATACATTTCAACAAAACTATTATACCCTGATTTCCCATTGAAAATGGGTTCAGGGATATACACATTCCAGGATGAGCCACGCCTTCTGTTTATACATACATTTGAACAAAACCATTCAGTTTGAATTACAATTTTTAAAGTACGCATGAAAGTTGAAATATAACTACATTCATACCTTAAACAAAATGCTTATTCCTAGATTCATGAATGGTTTAGTGAAATCTATAACACTCTCTCTAGCATATGTAATTGTCATTGAACCAACAGCCAAGTCCGCCTTCTAAAAGCAAAACATTTCTCAAATCAGAGAAAATAATACAAAAAGTTTTCTTCGAAAATGTTTATGCCTACATATTTCATAAGCTGAGCCACCATTCCATTCCATTGACCTGTTTCTGGATCTTTTGCGCCATATTTCCTATCAGGAACCAAATCTAATATGTAGTCGAATCCAACTTCATGCGAGATATGTTCCAAAATGTCAACACAAAATCCGTAAAAGCGTTCATTTCCCGTATAGTTTTTTCCGTAACGCATCATTACATAGGGCGTTTCCTAAAAAAAAATTTAAGACTATTTTAAAGGACGAATTTTAATATTGAAAAATATGTCACAAACCAATATAGTAATTACGACCAACGTTACGTTCATCGAACCAGCGTCAAAAAATAATGAAGGCTCCGTTATATTAAGATGATTATGAGGCGTCCATTCACCAACTTTTACTATAGAATGTTGCTTTAACTTGATTAAGTCGAGCTTAAATTGAATGCGTTGACCTTCTTTAAATTGTATGGGACCGGTCAATCCTTTCCACTCAACCTTTTTTGGTAAAAGTAAAAATGTTTTTAGGCTTAAGGTTTTGAGAATGGAAAATATAAATTTAATATTTTGAGTTCTAAATAGTAGTCATTTTAGAATAGTACTAATAAAACTAACTACTAATGAATACAGGCCGTTTTCTTCGTTCATGCTTATTTCATCTGATTGCTGCGTTGCCAAATTCTCTACAATAATTTACTGTTTTTGCGACGAGTTTCGATATTAATTGCGACGAGTGCCGAAAGCTAATTCCACGTGGCCACTTTCGCCGAGCGCGGAAAACTCAAAACTCTTCAAAGACTTCCATTCGCAATGAGTGCCAAAAACTAATTAAATCTGCGATTGCAGCTTTCGCTGCTATTCTACTTGGTCGGCAATGCAACCTCACCACAGTGAGCTTTTAAGCTGCTTGGTTGCATTGCCGATCGCGCGCGTACCCACTATTCAAATCCTACTTAATCTACAAACGCTACTTGCCATGACACTTATGACTACTTAATAACTAATTAACAATATCTTACGAACTACAAACTTATAATGCTTACGACTATAAATTATAACAATGACTTCCATCTCTCACGGCTACAAAATCAAATTCAAAGTTTCATCAGCTTACATACTACAAGCTTAAAGCTTACCAACTACAAACTAACAATACCATACTTTATCATATTATGCCTTACAAATCTAAACCTTACCGGCTATGAATTAAAATTGAGACTCTTCATTGTATATTTTTATATCCTTTAAACCTAAGCCTTATGCTCTATAACCTCTACTTCCTCCGGCGCGAGCGCAATGTAAGGTGGTTCATAGGTGAGCCACCTTACAGAGTGGCTATGAATACTTATTTTTCCTTGTTTTACAAATTAATAGTAATACCACTGACCAAAGAACACATAGATGAGACATGTAGAACAAACTTTTTCAACGCCGAAAAAATGTGCATTAGGTACTACCACTAACCACAGAACACATAGACCGGACAAGTAGTGTAAAGCTTTTTGCACACTTTTTTTCGAGCATTAGTTCCCAGACCACTTCGTATTTTCTCTGCTCCTCACTTTTAGGTTCGGGCTGCGAAAATATGGGAACACAAAATCATTTCTCTTCATGCGCTCGGCCGAGATGGTTGACTGTTGAAAAAAAGATCGCTCTGTGCTCAATGTTTCCCTTGCTCTCTCTCTCAATGCTCTCTGCTCTCTCAAATATGTATATGTATGTATGCATGTGAGCACAAGCCGCAGCTCACGAAAATTGAAATTTCGTCGCAGCAAGAACCCATGTCTTCCCTTCTGAGTGAAGAGTATTCCGAACTCTTCAAGCCGTTTGGCATGCGTTTTCGTTATTATTTGTGGGAAGGGTATGACAGCGTTGATGCGCATAATGAAAATTTTTCGTGACGAGCATGCACACACACACACACACTTACAGTATGCTACATGTACTATGAGCCTACTGTGTGCCTGTGTGCGAAGCTCGCAACAGGGGCACTCGTCAGTTTCCTCGTGACCAAAGCGCTTCAAATAGCTCCGAAAGCATCCATGGCCTGAGAGGATCTGCGAAAGATAGAAGTTAATCTCGCCGTGTTTGCGGTTAACCCATGGCTAGAGCTCCGGGATGAGCTTGTGCGTCCACCGCCCTTTGGCTGAGTTATTCCACTTTCTTTGCCATCGTGCAATGCTGTTCGCCCTAATAGCGTTGTGTCGCACAGGCGCGTGCGAATTCCGCTCCACGGCTTCGGCGACCAGGTACTCCAGTGGCTCCATGCCGGCTATGACAAGCGCCGCATCATTGGAGATAGTCCTGAAGGCGCAGCTGACTCTGATTGCGCTCAACCTGTAGATCGTGCAAATGTCCCAACTGTAGCTCGGCGTTGCCATCACTCTTGACCATATTGGCGCAGCATAGAGGATGACAGACCTGATGACGCTCATTAGAAGAAGACGTCGTTGCTGTTTAGGTCCCCGCGTGTTAAGCATAATTCTTGAGAGAGCTCAACAAGAATCAGCTGCCTTTTTATGCACATATTCTAAGTGCTCGCGGAAAGTTAATCTTGTGTCTAACATGACGCCAAGATACTTAATCGCCCTCTTTGACCCTCTTTTGGCAGTCTCCACTTTTTTGCGACTGCTTACTAGGACGATTTCCGTCTTGTGCGCCGCAAGCTCGAGCCCAGCTCCTGTCAGCCAGCTTCGTATGCGATTGATACTTTCGCTGCACATATCCTCTGTATCTTTAAGCTCCTTGCCTATGGCGACGACAGTCACATCATCAGCAAAGCCAATGGTGTGCGCATCTGCTGGTACTTCCAAGCGCAGTACGCCGTCCTACATGATATTCCATAGGAGAGGCCCCAGCACTGAGCCTTGGGGTACTCCAGCTGACACTGTATGAGTTTGGGGACCCTCACTCGTGTTGTATACCAGTCTCCAGTCTAGAGCAGATCAATTTCTCAAACACCTTTCCCATGGTGTCTAAGAGGCAGATCGGTCTGTATGAAGATGGTTCGTCTGGTGGTTTGCCAGCCTTGGGTAGCAATACCAGGTTCTAGGTCTTCCATTTTGCAGGGAACGTCTCTTCTATTAAGCATTCGTTGAATAATTCGACGAACGTACTAGGCTGCAAGGCGAGGGCTAGCTTTAGCGCACGATTTGGGATCCCGTCCGGCCCTGGAGCTTTGTTGGTTCTAAGACCTCTGAGAGCTACTAGGATTTCTTCGTCTGTAACTAAAGCAATTTGAGTGCTTGTTGAGCCCTGATTAGCAGACTCGGACTCCGGGGCGTGAATGGAGCTTAATCTTTCTAGAAAGAGCGTTTCCACAATCGATTTAAGCTACAGACGATCCGTCGGCTGCACCTGTTTACCTGCCTATAGTCTTTTAACTGCTATCTTATATGCCCTGCCCCAAGGGTCATATTCGGCTGAGTCGCACAACTCTAGAAAGCATTCTCTTTTGCTTGCCCGAATGGCCATCTTCAACTGTCTTCTGGCTGCCTGGTAAGCTAATTGTTTTTCGAAAAACGTAGATCTACCGCGAGCCCGTTGGTAGCTTCTTCTCACCTGGATGCATTTGCGTCGAATGTCACCTATTTGTGCATTCCACCAATACGTAGGCTCTTGTTGTCGCGTGAACTGCTTGCGGCGTAACATGCTGCTATTGCAGGCACTCTGTATTTGGGCCACCATTTGGCTTGCTCTGGCCTCAGCATTGCCAATTGTACCCAGAGACTGGATGGCCTCTGAAAAAGCCGCAGGATCAAAAGTATCCAGCCGATACGATTTCCTCCACAAGGTTGACGCCCTGGCAGGTGGCTCACCTATTGTGAACAGAAGTGCCGTATGATCGCTGCCCGTATAGCTATCGCAGTGGCTCCATGTTGCTTCCCGAACGAGGCATGAAGTGACAAAAGTAATGTCAATTACAGATCCGTACCCAGCCCGACTGAAGGTGAACTCGTGACCAGTGTTGAGCAGTGCAACATCTAGTGTCGCGAAAATCTCCAGTAAGATACGGCCTCTGGCATTTGTTGTGTGACTACCCCATTCTAACACGCATGAGTTAAAATCTCCTGCTATAATGGCCTTCCGATCCCTAGCATCCTCGGCAAGCTCGTCAAGCACCGCTGTGAATTCACTGAGCTGCATGCTGGTTGTAGGCAAGTAGCAGCTGTAGAGCCATAAGCTACCGTATTGGCCACGTACGAATCCATTAAATGACTTAAAATTCGAAAGAACATTCGTTGTGTTGCCACATGCTCTCAACACCGCTTTGCCATTAGCATCTGTTGCCCATGTCCTAGGGCAGCTACAGTGGTGAGGCTCACTGAGAAATGCTACGTCTATATATTTTTCCCTTATGGTCTGCTCTAGAAGATCTTTGGCAGCAACACAATGATTTAAGTTAAGCTGAAGGAACGTTAACATTTCGTTTTACGAGCAGCCTCGCGGTAGGATGGGCATTTGAAGCTGCCTGCTGAGTGGTCCGTCTGCTGTTCACCTTTCCGGATGCAGAGGCTGCATTTTGGTGGCTTAGTGCATGCTTGTGCACTGTGACCCATCTCTCCACACCTGAACCAGGCACCCTTTAGGTCACAGTCATTGCCGCAGTCGGCTGCAAGCGAATTGATAGCCTCAATGGGGAGTGAGCTATCCTTCAACTCCGCCCTAATTGACTCCAAGATCTCCTCTTTGCCCGCTAACTCATCTAGGTCGCGAATCTCAATTTGAGCCGATTCGGTAAGTGTTTTAACTACCGCTCGGTCACCAAAGGCCTTGCCTACAGCTTCGTGAAGGGCCTCAGCGCTATGCTCCGGCTTTCTGCTCAGTTGCAACAAAAGGTTCCCCTTAGCTGTCTTCCTAATGCCTTGAACGTCGCCGCTCAGATGCTTTAAATTTGGGTCGGTCTTGACTACACGAAGCAAGTCCGCATAGTTGCAACCACCCACGCCTGAAATCGCGATTGCGTCACTTCTGGGTCGGTTTTGCATAGGCTTGCGTCCTTTAACGACTGTCCAGCTGTTCGGGTTTGTCTGTCGACCTGCCTGACTTGAACTTTCAGCTGTAGCCCGTAGAGCCATTGGCTCTTTTGCGCCTTTATTGGGCCTGGGCTTCCTCTGATCGGTGGTAACTTCCCTCGTCCGCTTGGGCGTATTGCTACCTGAGATCGCACTAGTGCTCGCTTTCTCCACTACTTTCTGGAGCGGCATGGTCTGCACCTCGCAGTTTTTAACCGGTCGGTTGCAGAGCTTTTCGGCCGTCTTATGGAGATTGACCAGCCAAGCCAGCTCCTCTCTCATTAGGGCATTAATATGCCGCTGACCCCCAAATAAGGCAGTCAGGCCCTCTAGAGTAACTCCTATTTGGGCTAACGCTTCTTTTAGTGAGTTGGGTGCCTGGCACTCAGCCACTGGGGACTGATTAAAGGTCGACGGCTGCGGCAGCGCACTCTGTTGTTGCTGCGGTGATCGCTGCAACGAGGAACGACGCGCGAAAGCTTGCAGCTCGTCCTCCATCCTGGCATCCATTTTTGCTCCGACTACAACGACGTGAAGCCTGTAATGGGCAATGGCTACTAATATAATTTGAGTTTACAGACCGCAGTATCTTAAACTCAGCTTAACTACAGCAAGAGCCCGAAAGTATGCTCTACTTTTAGTAACTGCGTCTTCACTCCAGATGTTAGGTTGCTGTCTTTGCTAAGACTTAGCAACTCACCAAAGTTAGTGAGCAGCTGACTGTCCGCTGCAATTTCCAGCACTACTAACAGCTGTTATAGTGAATGCACCTGATTTTTATTAATTGCGCAAATGTGACGCCTAGTGACAAAACTTTTCGCGCTTGAAAAAGAAAAGGAAAGAGGAAAGCCCTGACGCCAAAATAATGACGCTATTGCCCCCCGATCAACGGTAGATTTTGGGCATTATAATTTGCGCAGGCAGCACACAGGCCACTAATATTTATTATGAGCACCAGATGGGCTAAGGGTGCAATTAAACAATAATAATAATAATAACATTCGAATATTTACCGCATTTATATAATTGATCAAGCTAAGGCCCCCATTCCACGGTACTTCATCATCACAAGTCAGATTTGGTAGCTTAAGTAGTGGATAAATTGACTGTAACCCGATAGCAAACACATATACGGCGTCAAACATCAAAGCTGCCTCCGTCTAATAATTATTAACAATAAGAATAATATTTAATAATAGTTCAATATAAAAAAAAAAAAATTAAAATACAAATCATACCTCGATACTAACAGCTTTCCTTGATTTATATGTAGACTCATTGTGATTCAAAAGTCGACGATTATGATATTCAATGTCCTTAAGAATTTCTTTGACCGCTACATCGCCCATGTCAACAAGTCGAAATGATGTTATATTTACAAAGTTATATTTAAAATCCTCTAAATCGAAATTTTCTAAGTCAAAGCTTGTGAAAAAGTAGTGAAATTTATATTCATTCATTTGTTGTTGAAGAATCTAGAATACCAATAAATATTATAACTTAAGTGCTGTGTCAAGAAAAGATTCGCAGCGGTTAATCAAAATTAAATTTAAAAAGGATACATCAACCGAAATGATTATTTAGCTAGTTTATCATTTTTCGAACTATAACTATTCATAAAGGAGAAGCAGATCGATTAAAAGCAGAAGTTATAACACATCTACATCTACATGTTAGCCAGCAAACTACGAATATATATACTTATATGTGTAGGGAAAAAGTTCCCTCTATTTCTAATTTCATATATAACATTGGACTAAAACGTGAATAGAAGTTAATTAATTTGAATTTATAGTCAACAATTCACATTAAAATAAGGAGCCAACGACTTTTGAAGTGAATATATACAGAAAATTGCAAAATATAACCAATCAAATAAGCGAAAGTGCTCTCGAGAATGCGTCCTTGCGTATTTTTGCTTACACAAGAAACACAGACACATACAGGCAGTACGCCTAAACAAGCATGAACTGCAGCATGGGTTTACTATGGGAACTTAATTGTTAAATAACTTTTCTTGTCGATGGACTATTTCCATGAAATTTGTATATCGTGATCATAACATTCAAATTCGTGAATGGCCTAAGCACAAGTCTCTTGTATTTGAAATACGCTTTTTATACGCTGAACCTATTTTCAATGGGAAATCAGGGTATAATGGTTTTGTTGAAATGTATGTAACAGGCAGAAGGAGGCGTGGCAGACCCCATAAAGTATATATATTCTTGATCAGGGCGACGAGCTGAGTCGATTTTGCCCTGTCCGTCTGTCCGTATGTATGAACGCGTCGATTTCAGAACATATAAGAGCTAGAGACCTCAAATTTTTTAAAATGTCCGTATTTACAGCGCGGATATCGAGTTTATCATTAAATATCGATAACTCATCTCGATCTTTTTTATCGATAAAAAACCGTATCGAAAACCAGTTAAAAAATTATATCTTCTATACCTTTATTGCTGGAGTCTCCAAACTTTTATTATACTCATTCACGAAAGTGAATCAGTAAATTGGTTTTGTGCAATGTCCGTCTTGCTGTCCGTCCGTCTGTCTGTCCGTCCGTCTGTCCGTCTGTCCGTATGAACGCAATCTATTTCGGCGCTATGGAAGCGCTATTGAAAATGCATTTTCCGATATACCAGAAATCATGTTAGTTAAAGAGCTAGAACGCTGAAATTTGGTATGTAGGTCCGCGTCGAACACCCAAGATCACGAGCTATGGCAGATATATTTCCGCCCATTGGGGGCGTGGAAAATCTCCTAAATTTGTAAGTCTAGAATGCTGAAATTTCACACGTCAGCTAATGTTATGATTCTGTAAAGTCAAAAGACAATTTATTAGTCTACGCCCATTAGGGGCGTGGCAAATCGGACCTGAAGATATAGTGATTTTTAAAATTCTGCTATATTTTGGAGACTATTGATGCCAGAGATTTTGTATATATACTCGGGCTGATCACCCAAGACCAAAAAGCTTTGTCGGATATATGTCCGCCCACGCCACGCCCGCGTGGCAAACCGCAAACGTTTATATCTCCTAAAGTATATTAGCTAGAAGCTTCAAAATTAGAGAGTTAAGTTACCAATAAACTCCTCTATCGATGACCCAAAAATAATTTTTACCCTGGTATTTTCACATTCTTTGAGGGTAAGCATTCAAACTTTGCAGTTAGGGTACCGTTATCACGTTCTAAGAACTGACCAAAAATGAGGGGTCTATGCCCAGTAGGGGCGTGGCAAACCGGAAAAACCTATATATTCTACAGTATTAGAGCGAAACTTAACTACTAAATTGTTGATGGGATGTGAATGAGTATTCCGCAGTCTGTAACGCCCGACTACAACGTTCTTACTTGTTAATATATGCTTATATGCAATTTATAAAATTTCGTTTTTTGTTAAAATTTACCCCCCACCCCTATATGCACCCCCTCACCCCCATGTTTGTTAAAGGCGTATTTCAAATACTAGAGACTTGGGCTTTGCCAAATACATGCATATCCATGTTATAATTATAATCATGAAGATCGTATGTCCACAAAAAGAGTTATTAAACAATTAAGTTCTCATAGTAAGCGCACACTGCGCCCATGCGTGTTTATGCGTGGGTGCTTGTCTGTGAATGTGTTTGTGTATGAGCGTGTGTATGTGTCTGTGTATGTTTGTGTGTATGTATGTGTGTGTGTGTGTATGCATGTGTGTGTATGCGTGTGTGTGCGTGTGAAAAATTATTGAAATAGCTATTCCTCGAAGGGTTCAGGGGATCTCGTATTACAACAAAAACCGAAATAATATAAAATATGTACATATAAGTCAACATTAAAAGTTTGGAGATTCTAGCTCTAAAGCTGTAGGAGATATAATTAAATAGTTTTCAATAAGGATCGATTACAAAATATCGGGAGTAGGTTTCGATTTTTTGAGAAAAGCTCAATATGCGCGTGATATACACGGTCCTAGAAACAAATTTAAGTCTCTAGCTCTTATATCTTCTGACATGGACGCGTTCATACATACGGTCGGACGGACAGACAGGCGGACAGGACTAAATCAACTCGTCGCCCTGATCAAGAATATATATACTGGTCTATCACGCTTCCTTCTGTCTGTTACATACATTTAACAAAACCATTATACCTTGATTTCCCATTTTCAATGGGTTCGGGGTATAAAAACGAAATAAAATGTATCGATAATTCTTGATAAAAGAGGTACCGGGGGTAAAAGTCGAATATATCGGCCGAGCGCATGAAGAGAAATGATTTTTGCGTTCCAAGATTTTCGTAGCCCGAACCTAAAATTAAAGAGCCCGAGCAAATATGGGTTTTTGGTTTGTGCTATAAGTAAGAGATCCTATGTTTGTTTACTTTAAGTATATACGATATATCAACTTTGTAAAATATCGAAGTTACATTTTTTAATAAAATTGAAATTCCAGCGGAGTTTGTGTCAATCAGAATGTTATGAATTTCGTTGCTTTTAAATTCGTTAAGAACAGTCAAGTACGAACCAGACGATACTTGTCGGATATGCAGTTCTGCTTGAATTGACCGTGAAAATTCATTTAATATTAATATTCCTGAAGAATAACAACTTTATACTTTAAAATTATTTCAATGAAATATATTTTGCTCTTACCGTGGTCCTTTTCATATAAAATACCAAACCTTGTCCAATTTAAATATCGAATGACATCAATGAAAGCTTGATTTATATATTGTTGCGATGGATGAACATTTATAGAAAATTCTTGAGCGGATCTTCCAATTCCTATGTCTGGTATATCCAGATCATCACATATTGAATTAATGTGAGTGGCCAACAGGGAATCCGTTGGACTAAATAGAGCTTGAACCCCATATTCAATAAGATTGCAAACTATTTAGTTTAAAAGTAAAGTATAAATTAATATAATACAATAACAAGTAATAAGACTCTAGTCGAGACTGCTCGACTAGGAGATACCCTGAACCCTCTAATCTGATATTCTAATCACTCTGCACTTCATTTCGGCACACATACATACACACGCACGTATTAGAACGCGCTCTGCTAACTGCGCAGTAAGCAGCGACTGCGCTTGGGCTGCGCTGCAGTGTAGGCAACATTATAAGATTTTATTTAATGAATAATTTAATTTCTAGACGTACAATCTTAATGAAGCTTTCAGAACATAATCATAATGTTCAACTGTATCGGAATTATTTAAAATACATATAAGTCTACATTTCAAATTTGGAAGCTCTAGCTCTAAAGGTGTAGGAGATATAATTAAACACATAGCTTTCGATAAGGTTCTTGATCGATAATAAAATATCGGGAGTAGTTATCGATATATAGAGAAAAACTCGATATGCGCGTAATACAAACGGACCTAGGAAAACAAATTGAAAGTCTCTAGCTCTTATATCTTCTGAGATCGACGTGTTCATACATACGGACGGACGGACGGACAGACGGACAGGGCCAAATCGACTCAGCTCGTCGCCCTGATCAAGAATATATATACTTTGTGGGGTCTGCCACGCCTCCTTCTGCCTGTTACATACTTCTAACAAAACCATTATACCCTGATTTCCCATTTCAATGGGTTCAGGGTATAAAAACAAGTTCACTCTGTTAACATATATTACATATATTTACCTTTTTGAACAGTCTGAAATGAGTCCTTACCGATGTACTGAATATTATGTATGAGCTTCAGATCAGGTAGAAGACTTTTGTCATTATTCACCCTATGAACAGCATATTGGAAGGCCACTTCTGGGTCACTTCTTTGCTTGGATATTGTTGGAAATAGGGCACCTTTAATTACTTACATCGGTTAATTATTATTTCTACTTACATATATGTACAAAACTATACCTACCAATTTTTATTTCCGAGTTTGAGCTAATGTAGGTAAAAAGATTAAGACTTAGAAGAATTCTTGTCAAATAACTCATCATAATAGTAATTTGTACACAAAAATTAATTTGTACTTTTATGCACTGACTAGTTTTTATAAGGTTCTGTAAAGAGAAGCCATACAAATACAATGGAAATAGACTATGAAGAATAAAGATGTAGTCAACAATACTTACTTGAAAATACCCTGTTTTGAAAATTTCTTTCAAGCGTTCAGTTTCATAACAAGTTTATATCGATGTAAAAAACTCATGATCCAGTGTTTCTTCTCGAGTTGATGTATACGTTATAGGACATTCATTTTGACATCATCGTGTCTGGATTTTAAGAGATGTGAGCGAATAACTGAAGCTGATTTCGAACTTAACCCTTTATATGGACTTATCGCATATCTGCAACATACCGTTTAAATGGAGTTATTTCGCAATGGGTATCAAAAAGTGGTATGAGATTGTTTTGCTTTTTGTAAGTCAGAAATATGAGTTTTTTCGATTTTTGAGGTTGGTTACACTATTCCACATTAGAGGCCTGCACGAATACGTCTCAAACGCTAAACGAGACACCCGTGTCTTGGTGGTGCTTGGTTTCACACTGTTTCGTTTTGTTCAAATAGTGTAAGCCAAAGCATCGTGGACGAACGAAACAAAACGAGCATTGTTCACATACCGAACAGTTCGGAATGCAGATGCTTGTACAGAAAGGAACCAACGAACGAAAGAAACGATAAAGCATAATTCAAGTATTGTTTTCGTTTTAGCTATCAGCTTGTGATGCCACGTTAGACTATTTCAAGCTAGATTTAGCATATTACTATTGAATGCACAAAGACATTTTTATTTAGAAATAAAAATAATAATAACACGCACATGTAAAGGCACAGAGGCATACAAATGCTTCTACAAGTTATATCCCATAATTGTGAGCAGCGCATCCCATGCGTACACAATTAAATAAGTATACATACATACATATGTATGTGAGCTTTTCACAAGAACGACCAAATGCAAATGATGGGCTTCAAAATTGCTACAGGCAGCCAGAGCTTCACACAAAGGCATACAAATAATGTTCATAGTACATGTAGCAAGGGACAGTGTGTGTGTGCATGCTCGAAACGAAAACTTTTTCATAATGCGCACCAACGCTTTCATACCCTTCCCACAAATAATAACGAAAACGCAAATATTTTGTACAAGCTTGGCAAACGGTTTGAAGAGTTCGGAATACTCTACACACTGCTGCTGCTTGTGCTCACATGCATACATACATATACATATTTGAGAGAGCAGAGAGCAGAGAGAGCGAGAGAGCAAGAACAAAAATTGAGCATAGAGGCATCTTTTATTCAACATTTGGCCATGACCATTTCGGTCGAGCGCATGAAGTGAAATGATTGTGCTTTCGTATATTTTAGGAGCCTGAACCTAAAAGTGTAGAGCCGAGCGAATACGAAGTTGTTGGTAGCTACTAAACAGATTTTTCGGTGTTGAAAAAGTTTGTTTTACATGTCTAGTCTATGTGTTCTTTGGTTAGTGTCTTTGGTCAGTGCTATTAGCTAGTGTTGCCAGCTTAGACTATTTCAAACTAGATTTAGCATATTACTATTGAATATACAAACCTATACCCATAAATCTAGCAAGCATAAATCTTTTCAAGTTCATATAGTACTTAATATTGCAGTACATTACTGAGTAGAATATAAAACATTGTGCATATCAGCAAAAAAGAAAAAAATGTTAATTTCTAAACATATTAGATAGTTTATATCATCTAGCCTGCTATTTCAACATTTACTTTCAATTTTTAGCCAATTCTATCCTTTTTGCTCAGCAACGGCGCTCAACGCGCAATAAAAGCACCGTACAATTTTCGTTTCGTTTGTCTAGGTTTTTGTTTTACTCAGCTCAAAGCGTAACAAGTAAAGTAAAACAGAATACTTGGCGACTTCGAGTACCATTCGTTTCGTTTTGCAGCAATGCTTGGTGTGCTCAAACACTTGCAAGTATCAGTATATTTGGAAGACGACCACAAGCAAGCATACCCATGCAGGCCTCTATTCCACATGTCTTGTAATACACATATTTAAACTTCCCGCCAATTTTGTGAATTGTGTATGTAGTGTCCATACCAATTTTATACTTGCAAATGTTTCTAATAAAGAACAACAACTACTTGTTAACAAAGGTAACTATGTTAATAATGAGTTTGTCATCAAGTTTTTGGGTTTATTGTTGTGTATTGTGAGTAACTCTTGAATATCGGTATGTTCCAGATATACAACAAAGTACTATTAGGAGTTCTATTTTGCCCTCTGAATTTTGTTGCATTTATGCAACATACTTATGTTTTATATGTTACTATATACTTCTTTTGTTGTTTTGTGTAATTGTGTGTTGCTATGAGTCATCGGAATTTGTTTTGGATTGTCTTATGTGCTTTATGTTCCTCTTTGAGGCCAACCTACAGGTACTATATTTTTGTATTTCTTACTTAGGAATAATGTCCGCAAACGAATGACACTTTTCGGAAATCGCAAGATTTATAATAGCTTGGAGAGACGAACTAGATTTTTTGCCAATGAGGAAAGTGATTTCGAACCAGACAGAGAGGGTTTCCATGGTACGAAGGAAGAAGACATTGATGACCAAGATGAACGTGCTGACGTTGATGTAACCATTGCTTCAAATAGCAATATCAACCTAAAACAAGTAAGAAAGCTCTAGTCGAGACTGCTCGACTACGAGATCCCCTGAACCCATCGAGCAATAGCTATTTCCACCATTTTTCGCGTCTTTCTGCTTACACAAGACACACGCACACACACACAAAAACACACGCACACACACGCATACACACACACATACACACATGTGTGGAGTGGATGTTATTGTGATCCATCGTTGACTATTGCTTGTTCCGAGTTTTTCCCTGCGAAAGTGGAAATATCTAAAGAAAACGTGTATGCTGTGGGCGCAACGTACCCAGCGACCTCGAAAGCTACCAGAGACTTACTGCGCGGCGGTTCATGGAGTACCCCGGTGCACATTGGGCCAGCGAGCCGATTTTTCGACGAAAATTAAAGTTTTCAAGCTAGGTTCTTGAAATTTGGTACATATGATAGTGTCGATGCACATAAAAATATATCTAAGTTTCAAACCGATCTGACCACGCCTTCCATAGCCGCCCATATGAGATAGGTTTCCTCTAGTTGATACTTTTACGGTAATTAATGATGCTAGCAGTCGTTAAATTCAACAAATGTTTTTAATTCATTTATTTAACACTTAACTTTAATATTAATAAATAAAAAATAAAAATGCATTAAAAATAACAATTTTACATTTAAAAATGTTCCTAAAAGTCGTCTTCTACATCAATTTCTATTGTAAACGGATTTTCAGAGTCAGAATCTGAATCACTATTGTTAGCATCAAAAACGGGAGCATTGTTATTATTGTCCATGTTACAAGGATATAGGAAGTTTGGTGATTCCAAAAGTTCGATTACGTCTGCTGGTAGGGGTAGTTTATTTTGCTGGCCCAATCTTTTTGCTAGGTAGATGCTCGACACAAGAGGATCTGAGGAATCCATTGCTCTGTGGAAAACGTCTTCCATGTTTTTTTGCCGAGTACTCTTTCGAGCATGTAGCCTCCTGTCACTCTTATAATATTTGTTGCGAGCCTCTGAGGCGTTCTCGCCAAGAACACCTAATGGAAGGATTGATGCTTCTATTATTTGGTAGCCGTGCATTAACACTTTATGGACTGTTGCCGACATTGGAAACCATGGATACAAGGACATATATAGTGTTACGGTTTTCTGACAATACTTTTTAAATTGTGTTGGATCAATTGGTAGGTGGCAAGAAATAGCAATCAAGATACTGTTAAAATATGCAATAAGATTTTCATCAAGACCTAAAATTTCAGCTAGTAGCTTAGGTTTTGCAAACGCCCTCCTTGCTGTGTTGCCGTCGTTTGTATTTCCATTGCCATTCTGCTTAGGCTTATCCACATGTAGAGCCATAGCATTCCACATCTTCTTCTGAATCGTATTTTTTTGTTTCGCCATTTCTTTTTTTCCATTTTCATCTCTCACTTGCCATTTTTTAAGTTTCAGTCTATATGCAATTTTGAGAACGAATTCAAAAAATCGAATCCAACCATGTAGAGGACTTATGCCATATTTTAATGCTTCATGTCTTGGCTTAAATTTTGGTGAGTCCATTTCAGCATTTTTCATGAAGTCTTTTGGACTCGCTCCACATATCGGACACAATTGGCAAGATTTGGTTTCAGTCAAAATGTTTAAAACCTTTCCATCTAAAAGTGTCATTTGGAGATCATATTTAACTGAAATTGATTTTCCATTTACAACGGTGCAGACGTATGCAGACAAATTATCTATTTGATTATCCAAATTTTTTTTCTCAGCAAGAATATGGTCTTTTGTCTCTTTAACAAACTCAAGCTTGACTGGTCTACAAAATCTAATCGACTGAGGAGTACGATTCATCCAAAATACATTTCCAATATGGTCCATTAATTTAAGGGGGATTATTGTTGTCGCAAAAAGCGAGTCGTCAGTAAGGAGTGAATCACATCCAAAAAGTGTTGCTTATAGCTGCTTTGTCCGGTTGTTCCATCAAATCCATAGCTTGCAATAAGGGTCAGACTTAAAGTATTGCCAAGCTGCTTAAATAAATCTTCTTGCATTTGAATTATACGGCAACTAGTGTGGTCTAGAACACTTTGCAGCGGGACTTTAGCAACTGACTCGGTTACATTAATATCAAAAGGTCTACATTTTGACTTAGCTTCTCTCACTTTGTTGTAAGCAGGAAAAAGTTCACAAGATCGGGAAATGCTGAGCTCGCGAAAGTTGTTGTATTGACTTTTACTTAATGAATTTTCAAGCAGATATGCTAAGGCTTCATCTTCCGTTAGTCGAACCGAGTCAGTTTTCTGCGTAAAAAGATTTTTTCTAACCTTATTGTGGTCACTCGGAGTAAGATATATATTTTTTAGCACAAGGGCTGTATCTTCCTCGTTCGATTTTTCGGCCGAAACTGCGGCGGCATGCACAAGAAGAGATGTGTTGTGACCCTGATGTACAGCTAAATCGGATGCCAATTTTCTCTTCTGACGGGGACCGGCGTTAACATATTCAATGGGTGGGCGTCCAACTGGTCTTGATGTTAACGGCTTTGGATTTGAAGACAACAATGAACTTACTGTTATGGCCATATTGGACAAAAGCCACTCGGTATGCTTTGTCTTAAATCTGGCCATACTTCTATTACATTTTGCCAAGTTCTTCTGAATGTAAAGGTGAAAGCTTCTCACTTTGGTGTTGATTTCATCCTTTTTTTCCGTGCTTAAATCGAATTCTTTGAGTTCATAATAAATCCAACTCGAAACGGCAGATGCGCTACGATTGTTTTGCATGTAGATATCAAGCAGTTGCTTATAGGCGAACTCAACCACAACTACAATATTAGTGATTTAGTCAAATTAGAACAAAATGGAGCAAAAAAGCTTTTTACAGTTAGTTTATATACACTTTGCACTATCATGACACATAATTACTTTTTGGCACAACTTGGCACAAAATTAGTTATAATCCACAACAGACGGGCTAGCAGGTTAGCTTTTTTCTACTTTTGGACAACACAAATAAACGCACACAAAAAACAGATTAGC